CCGTGTCTCGAAGTTCTTCGAGAACCCTCCATTGGGTATCCTGTCAATTAGTCTCTTCCAACACAAGTGTGATATCCAGAACTTTCTTTTCGGTTTCTTGTAATTAAATGTTGCGTGCTTCCCTTATTACACACCAGTAACTTAGTACCTAGTAGGTAATTAAAGACACTTCACCTCTGCGTTTACATCTGTGCTGCCCCAGATTGTTGTGATGCGCATTGAGTCGCATCCAAGTAATCTCATCACTTGGATGCCTCGCTATTCCCGTACCACCTCTTTGACCAACAAGTGCACCAGTCCTGCTCATACGGCATATACACGACACTAGCCTAAACTGCTGAGCCCGTTTCCAGCTACTGCTGGCGTCGTTGTGCTGTAATTAGTAATATAAAAACATTAAGTTCTCTTGCCATTTATGCAGGCTCTGATTTTACCTTCACAGTTAGCCATCAGCAACTTTAATAGATTCGCGTCCTCAGTCCGCAAATACGCCCTCCTAACCCATGCTACCTAATGGGACCAAATTCAGGCTTTCCATTGCCACGCCGGTTAATTTAGGCTGCTGAAGCAGTTTGCTATGATGGAGATTAATTTGTAGAAGACGCAATAACTATTGTTAATATCTGCGTTTCCTGAGAGCCGCTAAAGCTCTTCTCCATATACAAGCTTGAGAGTCTGGCCCCAAGCTTCAGACCCGAAGAAGAACACTCACCTTCTCCATACTTTCGCGTCCGCTCGAGAACTCCATAGATCTTCCTCTACTTGCATATCTCTTTCCCCGATGCCAGATCGGTCTGCCAGCATCGGCGTCCACTTGTAAGCGTTCCTTACTTCGTGAACCCTTAATTATCTCCCCGCCACTTTTCGCCAGCAGTCGATGGATTCTTTCGTTAATAACAGCAAATTGCATCTGGCCTTTGGGTCACCGACGCCAGATTCTGCTACCGCTGTCCTCAAATGTCTTGACATACTTCCACCCTTCCTGGCGTAGGCTTCGGTTGCAGCCCTATGAGTGCATAATTGGTCCGGCTGTGATGGTGTAGCCGGAATCCATACCCTTGCCCTTGGTTCTGGATGGTATGTCCTTCTTGTCCACTGGCCTACATTTTTGCCCAGAGGAGTAACAAATTTTTATAACCGGCACATTTCGAACAAATAGCATATTCTTAGATTTAGACTCAACGTAGATTTTCTTGCAAATAATATATTAGTTATGTGAGGTCGGCAAAAATCCCCCACTGAACCCTATCCGAGGGTGCTGACAGGTAATAGATACCACAGATTCACGACACAAGCGGGGACGAGCTGGTGACAGTCCGCCCGTGCCGTAGACGTGAGGAATCTAGCTATGGTCAGACTTCTTATCTGTGTGTTTGATGTTCCCCAATAGCACAGCATACAGATAAGGAGCCTTACCATGGTCGGGGGGGAAAGGCTGGATCAAGGTGTCATGCGACCCGTGCCGAGGATCAACCTGGCTGGGTGCCCTTAAATAGCCCAGTCTCGAACGGAGCTTACGGATACCTGGCGCCCTCCGTAATAAGATAGCCTTACTTGCGCAACGGGGGCTATGCGCAAGTGGACATACTTTCCTCCACACTCGTGGAACCAACAATGAACCAAAACGAAAATAAACAAAAACAACAAATAACGAAAACAAAAAATCGGAGAGAGCCCGGATCTCCAGGAAAAAAGCCGGAGGGCAGGAGCGAAGCTTGGTCCTGAAGACAAGGCAAGCACTAGTAAAGGGGCAGAAGCTAAAGCTGGCCCACAGAAAGTGGTAGCGCCGGAGGCAGCCAGACCCAAACCCTGCGGCCAAAACACGGCTGAGAAGCAGGGGGAGGGAGGAGATGCCAAAGGGGCTGCTGCCGGAAGTGCATCTGCCAGGGAGTGGCCTACAGTTAGCATGCAGGACCCGTCAAAGGCAAAATATGCGCAGAGACGACGCGCCTCATACTTACTAAGGTTGGTAGAGCTAAAGCCGCCAACGAAAGAGGAGCTAACGCAGGGGCTCCAATCATCGATTGACTGCACGAGAGCAGTCATACCCAACTTCAAGTTGGAGCCGCCGGTAAAGGCAGCCAAGCAACAGAGGTCAGCTGAAGAGGCAAAGTCGTGAGCTAAGAGACCGAAGACCAAGGGTGTAACGCCCGCAAAATCATTTGCAGAAGTGGCCCGGAACCGAATTGTGATTGGCGTTCTGGATGAGGGAGATCCCGAAGGAAGAATCCGCAGAGCCCAATGGAAATGGGTGCAGGCTGCGCTGACAAATGTGGCGTTGGAAGTGCTATTAAGCAATCCGGGTCCGCCACCGTCATGCGCAGATGCCGGCTGGTATCAGGGCCAGATCAAAATGATTGCTTGCGATGACGAGAGATCGGTCGCTCTATACAAAGCTGCTATAGCCAAGGTGGGAGAGGTATACCCCGGGGCAAAATTGGTAGCAGTGGACAAGAAGGACATACCATCCAGACCAAGGGCAAGGGTATGGATTCCGGCTACACCATCACAGCCGGACCAAATTATGCAGCTCATAAGAGCCTGCAACCCGAGCCTACCCACGGAAGGGTGGAAGTATGTCAAGACATTTGAGGACAGCGTAGCAGAATCTGGCGTGGTGACCCAAAAGGCCACGATGCAGATTCTGCTGTTATTAACGAAAGAATCCATCGAACTGCTGGCGAAAAGTGGCGGGGAGATAAATTAAGGGTTCACGAAAGTAAGGATAACGCCTTACAAGTCGGACGCCGATGCTGCAGACCATCTGGCATCGGGGAAAGAGATATGCAAAGTAGAGGAAGATCCTATGGAGTTCTCGAGCGACGCGGAAAGTATGGAGCAAGGTGAGTGTTCTTCTTTCGGGTCTGAGCTTGCGGCCAGACTCTCAAGCTTGTATACTGAGAAAGAGCTTTTAAGCGGCTCTCAGGAAAACGCAGATATAACAATAGTTATTGCGTCTTCTACAAATTAATCTCCATCATAGCAAACTAGCTTCAGCAGCCCTAATTAACCGCGTGGCAATGGAACAGCCTGAATTTGTCCTCATTCAGGAGCCATGGGTTAATGGAGGGCGTATTTGCGGACTGAGGACGCCGAACTATAAGTTGCTGATGGCTAACTGTGAAGGTAAAATCAGAGCCTGCATAATGGCAAAGAAGAACCTTAATGTTTTTATATTACATAATTACAGCAACAACGACACAGCAGCAGTAAGCTGGAAAACGGGCTCAAGCAGTTACCGGCTAGTGTCGTGCTATATGCCGTATGAGCAGGAACTGGTGCCACCTCTGTTGGTAAAAGAGGTGGTACGGGATAGCGAGGCATCCAAGTGCATGACGATACTTGGATGCGACTCAAATGCGCATCACACAATCTGGGGCAGCACAGATGTAAACGACAGAGGTGAGTGTCTCTTTAATTACCTACTAGGTACTAAGTTACTGGTGTGTAATAAGGGAAGCACGCCAACATTTATTACAAGAAACCGAAAAGAAGTTCTGGATATCACACTTGTGTCGGAAGAACTAATTGACAGGATAACCCAATGGAGGGTTCTCGAAGAACATTCGAGAACACGGCGGAAGCGTTTCGATTTAGGAAAATAATGGCACAATCGGTGCATAGTATCGGTTATCTTCAGAAGCCAGACCGAAGTTGGACGGTATCCAGTGAAGAGTCCTTGGGGCTACTAATGGATACCCACTTCCCAGGCAGCTCTGAAAGCCATACTGCAGAATATACTCAAGACAGTGGAGCAGAAATGAGCCCCACTCTCATAAACATAGTGTCAGAAAGCAACGTACGCTGGGCAATAAACAGCTTTAAGCCCTTCAAGTCGCCGGGATCAGACGGTATATTCCCGGCTCAATTGCAGCAGTCGCAGAATTACATAATGAATTGGCTAATTGCCATTCTTAAGGGGGCGCTGCAATTAAACTACATCCTTTCGCTTTGGAGAAAGGTCAAGGTAATATACATACCAAAGGCAGGCAAAAGCTCGCATACAAGTCCAAAGGACTTCAGGCCAATTAGCCTCTCCTCTTTCCTTTTAAAAATCCTGGAAAGACTAATAGAATTACTTATAAGAAACAAACTGAAACCAGAAAAGTTGGCTGGTTCACAGCATGCGTATTCTAAAGGAAAATCCACAGAAACAGCACTAAGCTCTGTGGTGGCGGAGATTGAAAAATCTCTGGAAGTCAAAGAATACACTCTATTTGCCTTCTTAGACATAGAAGAAGCCTTCAATAATATCCCGCCTAGGGCCATACTGAGTGCGCTTAAGGATCTGGACATCTCTGAACCTCTCAGGAAATTAATTGAACAGATGCTCACGAGCAGGTCAATAATTTCAACGATGGGAGCGTCAACGATGTGCATATCTGTCCAAAGAGGTACACCTCAAGGAGGCGTGTTATCCCCACTTCTCTGGGTCCTGACAATGAATAAGTTGCTGATGGATCTAGAAAAGAAGGGGGTACACGTTGTGGGGCAGTATCGTGCGGATTAAATTTAAATGCTGGTAAGACAGAGCTCGTATTGTTCACCAGAAAACATAATGCTCCAGAAGTTACGGCGCCAATAATAAATGGTTGCAGACTAACAATTGGAGATAAGGCAAGCTACCTGGGACTAATCTTAGACAGGAAGCTTTCTTGGAAACAAAACTTGAATGCTAGGGTGAAGAAGGCAGCCACAGCACTCTTCACCTGTAAAAGGATGGTGGGCCCCAAATGGGGACTTACACCTCGGGTAACTTATTGGCTCTATACAGCAGTTGTCAGACCAATCATAATGTAAAAGAAATACGCGGTAAAGCGTATGGACAGCATACAGAGAGCAGCCAGTATATGCATTAGTGGAGCTCTTAGAACAACGCCAAGCCAGGCTCTTAACGTCATTCTACATTTAGTGCCAACAGACCTGTTCTGTAAACAAGTGGCGGCAAAGTCAGCTCTTAGACTGAGGGAATCCTCCCAACTAGTCGCATGCAACAAGGGGCATTCAAGGATACTCAGTATATTCCCGTTCCTACCCAAAACCACGGATTTCCACAATCCAATAGAACGGATGCTAAATTCGGTCCACAATATTGCTTTCCCCACAAGAGAGGAGTGGAAAAGGGGCGAGGTGGACAGGAATACAGGAATCAGCATCTACACGGATGGATCCAAACTGGATCATCGAGTGGGAGGTGGTGTCTTTTGCGCAACATTAAACACTAAAATAGCCTTCCGCTTACCAGACCACTGCAGTGTTTTCCAGGCGGAGATCACAGCAATCAAAGAAAGCCTTGTTGTATTGACAAAAAGTGTGCTCACAACAAGGAACATATATATTTATACGGATAGCCAAGCGGCCTTGAAATCACTCAAGTCTCCTATGGTCTCATCAAAGATAGTGAAAGATTGTCTTGATCTATTAGAGGATCTGACATCCTACTTTACAATAAACCTGCAATGGGTTCCAGGGCATAGTGATATCCCTGGAAACTGCGAAGCAGATGAACTAGCCAGAACAGGCACCGAGTTACAATTAACCCCTGAAAAAGGGGAAATTTTTATGCCCCTGGCAACTTGTAAGCACTTAATCAACGAACATGCTATAAATATAGCAGAGTCTCGTTGGAGACAATCCATAACAAGCTCCACTAGCAGACTAACGTGGCAGGTATGGAGCAAGAGTCGTACAAACCGACTATTAAAATTCAAAAGGAATGACATAAAAACTCTGATTGGGGTACTAACAGGTCACTGTCTAATTGGTAGACATGCCAGCAGGCTAGGTGTACCTTACAACGATTATTGTAGAAGCTGCCAAGAAGTAGAAGAAGAGGAGACAGTAAAACATCTTCTATGCGAATGTAAAGCTCTATGCAGGAAAAGAATCGCAACTATCGGTCGTGGATTCCTTGACGACGTATCAGAAGTTGCTAATATAAAATTATTTATACTGATGAGCTTCATCAGAAGCACAGGTTGGTTCAGAGAGGAGACGATAGAGTGAGGGAACAGTAGTCCCGGTGATATCACAATGGGCCTCCCATAGGCCTAGGTGCGTTGTTAGACAGCCACTCTACCTACCTACCTACCTATGATCATATGCAACGAGAACATGCTAGAAGAAATCCTGAAACAAGGAAAGATAACGTGATAGAGAAACACAACGCCGACAGCTTAGTAGGAGGGGTACGGGGGAAGAAATTTTGGGCCCCGCAAAGATTATGGAAGCTTTGCAGTTCTTACTGAATACCCCTCTATATCGTGAGCACAACAAACATATTAATGAGAACTGGATTTCAGAATTTTATAACCAATAAGAAATTCCGTTTTTTGCATCTGCAGAGGATTTCCGATTGGATAAATTTTTTCATGCGGAACAAATTTCTCATGATAATCCCTCAGTTAACAATATTCCTACGGGTCTTTAACCTTCAGACTTAAATCCAGGCTTAACACATCATCCAAACACATTCCACACCAACCCTACCACCACGATCACCCCACACATGAAGACACACTACACACCACACCGAAGGAGGTAAAAAGGGGACGACGAGCGACCACAAATCTCTTTTGCGCAACGTCACCGTGAAATTGCTATCTCCGCTACCGACCTCTTTAAAATCGTGGTATTAACTTTTAGTACAAAGGTTGTGAAAATAACATTTAATAAAAAAAAAAAAATAAAAATAAATAAAAAATTGTAATTTAAACTGTTCATACCAAATGAACACATCCCTGCATTGTTCTCCTAACTCGTATAAATACGAATTAGAGGACAATGCAAAAGGCTCAACAGCACCAACATAACTAATAATTCCAATTGGAATTAGTCAGCATACCAAGGAGCAGACATCAACGCGGACGGACAGAAAGGGCGCGAAAATTAGATCGCCCCAGCAATATAAAAACAACAACAGCAGCATCACAAAAATCGACGAGGGATTATTTAAGCCACATCAGGTTGTAATTAAATGTATATTTAAATTATTTATATTATTTAAGCCTAACCTGTAAATAACATATAATTTGAATTATACATATAACACTTAACATACACACACATAAATATTGTACAATTAACCCACATAAATTGTCTATATTTCTACCCTATATACTAAAAGTAATTAAAGTTACATTTTGTTGAATTTGAATTAACATTTTATTTTATTTGGCACACCGGCAAACTCAACGTCGAGTACCCCGACATTTTGGTCCTTCGAGCCGGATCGTCCTGGATAAAATAAAACCCACCCAATTAAACATCGTTTATAAATTATACATTCACCCACCCAATCAACCACCATTTGGATCATCAAAAATAATATAATATATTCGCGCACCCAATCAACCATAAACTTGGATCATATCAGCAACAAGGATTATATACGTGAGAAAAAAAAAATTGTGAGTACATAAACCCAAAATTTTAAAAAAAAAATATAATATATCAGTGCAATACGGAATAAAAGTGCAAAGTGAAAACAAATATATATAATAAAATAAATCTTGTGCTTAACAGGTATTAAGTGCAAAGTATTTGCGAATTTATTATTGCCATATTCCGTTTAGCACTTTACTCATAATACATACATAAGTACGTACTTACAACATAATATAAAATTTTTGAGAGCCAAGCAACGTTACTCTTGGTACCTATTCGTACATACACGTATATATATATATTCAAATTGCATTATCCGCTCTCTTAAATATTCATTGCTAGTGCATTGCGAGCGAGCAAAAAACCCTGTAGGAAAAAATTCAAATAACCCAGTAGGAAATTTTTCGTGCATCGGAATTTTAAATATTGTGCATATATAATATAAGACACATACAAAAAAAAAAAAAAATTTTATTTTGGAAATTCGCCAGCATTCGGAAATTTGCTTTTAAAATTTAAATAAAGAAAAATTACTTGAAATTTATTATTTGTTTCATTTAAAATTTATAAATTGTGGCGATATATACATACCTATCTATATAATAAAGAAATAAATAAAATTTCTATCGAAAATGGAAGAATTTAAGTTCTGTATTTCGGATTTGTTCGAATATATCGAAGAACATTACGAGACCCACCCCGAAGATGAATCCGTTCATACTCTGGAAATAAAAAGAGTTGAACTTAACGCTATTTACGATAAGGCAAACAAGTCGTACGATGCCTTTCGTAGAACCCCACAAAAACGCGGTGAGACTATTGACTTCTCAAAAGTTAAAGAAAAATTTAAAACAGGTCATCAATTATATTTGAAATGTTTGGGATCCATTAACCAAGCTATAGATGATCTTAAGACCCCAACCCCCACAATAAAGGAACGAGCTTCAGATGAAAACACATCGCGGGACATAGGATCTTCAATTCATCTACCCCCATCTGACACGGACATATTTTATGGCGACTTCGTAACCTGGCCCTCATTCAGAGACATGTTTACGGCCATATATGTAAACAATCACAAAATTAGTAACGTGGAGAGACTGTTTCACCTCATTCAAAAAACCCGAGGAGAAGCAGGAGCAATAGTGAAAAACGCACCATTAACAAATGATGGTTTCTTGATGGCATGGAGGGACCTGGTATCGCAATACGAGAACAAACGAGTTCAATTCAACGCGCAATTAAAAATTTTGTTCAATTTACCCCAAGCAAACCAGGAAAGTGGAAGCGCTATTAAACATCTTCAGAGGACCGTCAACAATTGTCTTACAAATCTTCATAATGTATACATAGACACGACTAGTTGGGACCCAATCTTAATCTTCTTATGTGGATTGAAACTACCTAAGACTTTACTTCATCAATTTGAGGATACCCTAGAAGACAACTCCGAAATACCATCATGGAAAACTTTCGACGCATTTCTCACCCATAGATACAAATCTTTGGAAGCAGTAGGAAATCTAACTGACCCCGTTCCAGTTACCCAACCCGATAATGGGCCTTATAGAAAAGGAAAAGACAGGAAATTTAATACCTTTCACGCGAACGTTTCTGGAACTTCGAATTTGAGTTTTCCACACGCTAGTGAAAACCCTGTAAGAAGCAACATCATCTCAAAAAAACCCCAAGACATTGAGAGTTGTAAATTATGTAGAACCCAACATTCCATTCGAGAATGCCCAAAGTTTTTACAATTGAATGTCGAGACCCGAATAAACGTAATAAAAAATAATGGTTACTGTTTTAATTGCCTTGCATTATCGCATCGCTTCAAGGAATGCAAGAGCAAATACTCATGCAGAATATGTAGAAATGTATTATTGTATATATAACATCGATCTCGCACTTTAAGTTTTTATTTATTAAAAAGAAAATTTTTTTTTCCAATGTGGCTTCCGTAGGTTCGACAGACCAATGAATAATTATGCTAACCATGTTAGCTTCACCAAAGACATGTTATTTTCCTTTTTTTACAAACGCCTATTTGGTTTATGTCGGGTACTCGACGTTGAGTTTGTCCGGTGTGCAATATTAAATAAAAGTTAATTCAAATTAACAAATTACTTTAATTACTTTAGTATAGGGTAAGAAATATAGATGTGGGTTAATTGTACAATATTTATGTGTGGTATGTTTAGTGTTATATGTATAATTCAAATTATATGTTATTTACAGGTTAGGACTTAATAATATAAATAATTAAAATACCATTAATTAAAACTGATAGTGGCTTAAATAATCTCGTAGATTTGTTGTGATGGCTGCTGTTGTTGTTTTATGATTGCTGGGGCGTCTAATTCGCGCCTTTTCTGTCCGTGCCGGTTGATTCTGCCTCCTGGTAATGCTGACTAATCTCAATTGGAATTATGTATGTTGGTGCGTGTTGACCTTTGCATGTCCTCAATCGTAAATTTATACGAGTTAGGAGAACAAGCAGGGAATGTGTTCATTTGTATACACCTGCGCCTTGCAAGGGTGCGAATAAAAAAGTTATAGAATTTTTCGCTTGGGTTAGGAATATTGTTTTTAAAATGGTTTGAAGTGGTATTAGGTTTAAATCGCACAAGCACCAGTTAGAGTCCAACCGATGTGGCGATGTTTTGTGGGATCGGGCTGTGTTGGGTGAATAATCCGGGTTTCATTATCTTGGTGTAGATGCTCTCAGTTCCATCAATGATTTACATCCTATGTGGAACATAGGGTCCGGCCAGGACAAGCGGTCGAATCTCATTAAAGATTTCGCACACTATATCACGATTGTAGGGTCGGGTCGGTAATCTTCCTTGCGGTCCATGGCAGTCTAACTTCGACATGCCATCGGGATCAGTTAAGACCCTATGACGAGTTACATATGCGATGAGAGTCAGGTAACTTTTTCGTAACTCAATCTCTTAAACTAGCTCCGAGGCATAATTGTCACCTTTCGGGTGGTTATTATGACACGTACTTATTCCATTTGCCCATCGGTTATTTTTATCATGGCAGTGGGATAAGGTAGGCTTGGCCAGTTGTGTTGGATCTCTGGATCTTTGTGTAAGTCTCGTCGTTCTTTGTTGTTTTGGTTTTTTCTTTGCAAAACAACTGGGGTGTCCATTAGGGTTAATGGTGCTCCCGTTACACATTTAACATCTTTTGCGCTTGTGCATGTGGTTGAGTGCATCTGGCAAGCGTTTGACGCAGTAATATACTTAGTTACTGGCGTATAAACGTTTCGGATGTTT